ACAAAAAAAAAAAAAAAAAAAAAAAAAAATCTTTTAAAAAATAAAAAACAAAAAAAAAGTGGATTGATTCATATAACTGAAAAGTGAGGGATAGAGTTTACTTTGGACAAGACTGGTGCTGCATATTCACTAGATGTCCCTGTTCAAGCGGGCAACCCCCATGGCTCTGAAACCTCAGATTAGTATTCTGTCTGCTTTGCTTCTTTACCAATATTTTCAGCCAAGTTCCTGGGTTGGCTCTGATTGACCTCTTTGGGTCATTGGTTTGCCCATAGTTAAACCAATCTCTGTAACTTGGATACTCTCATTGGCCAGGCCAGGATCCATGACAACCACCAAAATCAGCTTCACCCAAAATACAAAGACTTGCGAAGGAAAGGTCTTCAAAGGAAAATCAAGCTATGTTACCAAAACATAGGGTTTTTATTATTATTATTATTAGGCGGGCAAACCTAACAGATATCTATTATAGATGGAAAACATCTATATCTAAGAGGAAAGCCTGCTTGAAGTCCAAATTCATATCAGAAAGTGTTGGGTGACTGTATGGATTCTGAGTCAAGAAGGAAGATATCTCTAGGCTTCCACTCCTCAGTGGAGTGTTTTTGGCGACTGATTATCCTGGATTCCTTCTTCTTCTGGAGCTCTGGGGGGACGTCCTGAGAAGCTTGGCCTCTCTCCGTAACATCATGTGCCTGGACCTCAAAGAAGAGAGGGTCTCTCACCACTATCCTGTCCTCACTGGACTCAGTCAGCATCCCCCCCACCTGGCACATATGGTCAATATTCACGGGGTCGGCAAGACTGAGAGAAAGGGTCTCATCAGTATTGGTGACACTCTCCTTCTTAATCCTCCTATCCAGGCGTGGGAGTGTCTAAATAAGAAGAGACCCAGAGTATGGCTCGAATGCTTTGAATAAGGGAAAAAAGGAAGACAAAAAATTTAAGTAACCTATTTCAATGTCCTATTCTACTACATAAGAGCCATAAAATGACCCTGAGTTGTGCTTTCTCTGTAGCTTTGTGGGGAGCAGCCTACTTCTGACTGGTGGGACCCTCATGTCATTCCACGTCACAGCTTAAGAGCTATAAAGCTCCCATCCACAGTGCCGGTAATGTGAGCCTGAGGTCATAAGCCAAATCTGCAATCCATAAAACAAACAACAATAACAACGACAACAACAAAACAACCACTTCAATTTTCTCAAATCTCCCAAGATTTAAAAAGGAACAAAACGTTACTGGTGCGTTTGCTGACTGGAGTGATTATGTGGTTCAATCATTTTGATTTACAATTGCATCTTTGTCCTTGTAGAAATAAGTCTCTGCAGCTGAACAACGGGAGGTGGAAATGGATTAACCTTCCAATGCGGGAACATAAGACGAGTTCTAGGGAGCAGGCCTTCATTTGAGGTTAATGCAAAGTCTCCAGTTTCTATGGATACACAAAATTAAAGAGCGTTCTTTTTTTCTTCTGCCTTCATTTTCCTTTCTTTCGATCTGCCATGAAAAGGGATTATCAGAAGCTTCTAAGCCTCCGTTTTATTTTTGTATCATAAAGCACTGGGATCTGTTTGACGCGTTCCACGAGCTCTGAAGTAATCTTTGGTTGTTGCGTGAAATAGACTTCAGGAAAATGAGGGACTAGAGGTCATGCTGCAATGTAAAGTTTATGGGCCATATTGCAAGGACAATTGGCTTTTTTACTTTCCAGAAATAGATGAGTCTTCTCCTTGCACATGAAAAAGCCATGACTTAGGCCAATGATTCCCAAACCTAGGCGGGCATCAGATTCACCCAGAGGGCCTGTTAAAACACAGATCTCAGGGCCCCATTGCCAGAGTTTCTGATCCAGTAGGACCAGAGTGGGCCTGAGAATTTGCGTTTCTAACAAGTACCCAGGTGATGCTCGTGCTGCTGGTCCAAGGACCACATTCTGAGAACCGTCACTGTCTACTGAACACATAGAAAACCATTCATCCCTCCCCAGCTGATCAGGGAAGTAGGTTTCCAGAGAGCCAACATCCCCATCACTTCATTACTGCCTCCCAATGCACATGAATATGGGGGCTGGGTAGGGAACCCAGCTGGTCAGGACCATGGGAATCCTTGCTGTCCCATTTCAACCTGGTCATCTATTTCTTGAAAGGATTGTGGAAATAGATGAAGACGAACCAAATGAGAACACTCAGAGGCTCTTTTTTCAGAGCCTGCTCTAGCAAGGGCGTCCGCCACCATTGTTCGCACTTTGGCAGAGACACAAAGGCAGGCAGAGGAGCGGGCAAGCTTGATAGTGGGAAGAAGGGAACGTTCCTGGATGAAGGCTGTTGGCCCTTGGAAGCTGGAGGAGAGCTGACTGGAAGCAGGGCGCCCTGTGTGGTTGGTTAGGGGGTGTGTTTGAATTTCTCTCATTGGTCCTACGTTGGAAGCAGGGACAAAATTAAGAAAGTTGTCAGTTATTAATCAAGTCCTGGCCATCTGGGGCTGACTGTTACAGAGGTTGTTGTCTGTCTTCCTGGACTGTTCCTTGGACAGTAATCTGACTTCCTACACGTATGACCTATAGCAGGCTGGCTTCCTGAGCTGGTTATTGTAGATAATGGGCTGGTTTCCTGGGCTGGTTACTGTGAGTTCTGGTTCAGAGTTCTACTTTTATGGTCTGGTCACTGTCTGTTCATATATTCCATCTTTCAGGATGCACAGTGGACACTCATTTTTATAGTTTGCTAAACCCTTGGTGTGTTCCACATTGGCCAATTTCAATTAAAGAATGCCTGTTTTTTATTAAGGGCCTACTATGTGCAAAGTGTTATGTTAGGCATGTGAGGTTTTGTAAGATATAGGCACCAATGTCAGTGAGAAGCAGCCTATGTCATTCGGGCATCAAGGAGAAAGAAATGTCAGGGCATGTGTTGCTTAGAATCTTCCACCACATTAACTGCAGAGGGGAGAGGAAGAGGGAGGCCAGGGTTCCTTTTCTTTCCCAGGGCAGGGAGCTTGGTCCCAGCTGAGATCTCAGCTTTTCACTTTTGCACCAGGAGTCGGCATTCTTCTCTGCTCTGCGGGGTCAGACCCCCACAGTCATGTCCGAATAAACCTGCTGCTTCTCTGCTGCAGGTGGATGATCTGAAAGCCAAGCTGGCTGCCCAGGAAGTGGAACTGAAACAGAAGAATGCTGATGCAGACAAGCTGATTCAGGTGGTGGGCGTAGAGACAGACAAGGCGAGCAGAGAGAAAGCCGTCGCAGACAAGGAGGCACAGAAGGTGGCCCTCCTCACGCTAGAGGTGAAGCAGAAGCAGGAGGACTGCGAGGAAGACCTGGCCAAGGCAGGGCCAGCGCTCACGGTGGCCCAGGCAGCCCTCAGCACACTCAGCAAGGTAGGAGCCGCGTCTCCGTGCTTGCCTATCCCTCGGGGGAGGAGCAGACTCTCCTGTGACCCAAAGACAACCTGCTACCCTCCTGTTCCAAAGAGACACAAAGGCAAAGTTGGGAGGGCTTGGCTGGGACCAGCTGTCACTGGTTTATTCATTAAGCAAATAAACATTTATTTAAGCTGACTGTATGTCAGGATCCACGAGCTACCAATGAAATCCAAGAGACATGAGTGTGAGAATCAGTCAGGACAGGAGAGGCCAACTGGTCCAGCCTCCTCGCTTTGCTGATGAGAAAGCCAGGGCCCAGAGAACTGACTTGCCCAGAGTCACAAACCTCAATGTTAGAGCCAGGCTTGAGCTCACATCTTCAAAATCCAAGCCCAGAGATCTTCCAGCTATGCAGTCCACGGTCATTTTACCCATTCTGTACTATAGGACACATGAGCCTTTGAGGACCCTATGAAAATATTTAAGATATGAGACTAAAAAGATGTTGTCTCCAAAATATGAGAAAAAAATTCTACAGAATCAAGCTTAGCAAGTGTTCAGGTGTCAACAACATGCAATTGTGTGTCAGCTAAATTCAACTCATATGCATGACCTTCTGGTGGAACAGCCATGACTCTTGAGATGCATTCGTAGGCAGTTTTACTCTGGCTCCCTTTAAATGTACTCTGTGTGTTGGGAGCAGCATGTGGTTGCTACTTCTTCCTTCTATAGTTTTCACAATTAACCTTCTTTCCTATTTGGATGACCATGGCTGAAGGGGTAAGGGAGGAAGGCGGAAAAGGGGGCAGACAGACTCAAGTCACCAGGAGCTGGCCTCAGAGAGGGACTGAAAAGCTGACCGTTTATAGGGATGCTCACATCAGCTCTTTGGAGACCCTCCGTCAGTCACAGGGATCTCTCCCTGCAGGTTGCTCTCTCCTCCTTCTCCTGAGGGTCTAGCTATTTATTCACTTGCCCATCACGTGGGTGACTTACTTGGTCAAGGTCTAAGACAGCCTAAGCGAGGTGTGCCGTGCCAGCAGGTCACCTCTGCTCCGCGGGAGACACCTGAGCCTCCTTTCTCCAGACAGGCTCTGAGAGCACTGGCCACCCGTGCAGTAAATTACCCTAGTTCCACTGTCAGGGGACTAGCCTGGTATTCTCATCCTGTAGATTTCTGGGGTGTAAGTTAGATCCCAGTCCACTGTGTGACTCAAATTGTGCGGGAAGCGTTTAAGCTCTCTGAGTGGTCTCCTTAAAGCCCCCTTCTCTCCAGACTTAATGTGAAGTGCAAATGCCCCCCATCCTCTCTTAAAGGCAGAGTGGGTGGGACTCAGCAGCAGTTCTCACTGAACATTCTCTCTTAATCTTCGATCTCCTGACTCCTTTATACCCTCAGTGCAAGTTAAAGGTTTAAGAGTCAAAACACTGTGGTCTATTGAAACCTTCTTTTATTAGTTCTGTGTAGCCAACTCACACCTCACTTTGGAAGGAAGCATCTCTTGACTTAGGGCCTCAGAAAATCTGAGACTGAACTGGGGACGTTGTAAAATCCTGTGACATATACTTATGTATGAAATGTATTTAATGTGAGATTAAATACTAAATGCATCTTAGTATTTTTTTATGATGTGGGGTGAAAAGTCCCTAAAAGGAAGGACCTAGAAAGGCATTAAGTGGGCCTCTACCCTAGAGAACACAAGATTCCTCCAGGAAAGTTTTGGGTATCGTCAGGTGGACGGGGAATCGGAGGTGTAGCCCAATTATGCTACCACTTCTCAGCCTGAACCTTTTAATAAAGCCGGGTCTGGGTCTCCCTGACCCCCCAGTAGCATCATCTCAACCGCCAGGCCTTTGATTAGACATCACTTCACTGACGCAACCTAGGATTCCCTCTCCTTTCACCTCACTCTGTCTAAATACGACCCATATTTCAAAATCAAACTTACATCCGAGATCAGTCTCTCCCTTTTCTGATTTCCAGAGCACAAACGAGAGACCACTTTATTTATTCACCCTCTTGTAAGTGCTCATTGATCATTTCATGCCAAGAAGACTAATGTCTTTCATAAGATCTTTTGACACAGGGATTATATTTTCTAAGATGAGCTGAGTCCAAATCCTGGCTGAACTATTCACTGCGTGTGGCTCTAGGAATGATTTTTTTCTTCTCTGAGCGTCCGTTTCCTCACCTGTAAAATGGAGGTAATAGTAATATAGTCCCCATCGGGTTGTTATAAGGATTCAATGAGATAAGGTATGAAAAGTAGCTAACAGATGGCAGCCATTCAATTAACGTTTGTTGTGGTTGATGATGTCGTTATAACAGTGTTACCTCGTCTGTTTCCACAATGCTGGAAACAGCAAAAGCCCATAAATACTCTTGGTTAATTTGTTGGCTGATTAGTTAGTTGATCATTGTTGGTAGAAATAATCACATAGAGATGTAACTCATGGAAGTAATGGGATAGAATTCTGAAGATAGCACTGGATTTGAAGTCTAGATATCTCTACCACAAAGGGAGTAAAACTCATTTCTAATGAGTGCCTACTATGTACCAGGCAACATGATAGGTGCTTTCTTCTAACTGGCTGTGGAGTCTGGCACTAGTCACTGAACTTCTTAATCCCTCACTTTCTTTTCTCTGTTACAAAGAAAGGGGCAAATAGGAATTAATGGGCTCTTTCTCTCACACTCCCATCCAATCTATTAGCAAGTTCTATCCATTCTACTTTCAGAATATATCTAGAATTCAAATGCTTTGTATCATCTCTACTGCTGTCACCCTGGTCCAAGCCACCATCGTATCTTCATTGGACTATTGCAATAGCCTCTCACTTGGCCTCCCTGTTTACAGCCTTGCTCCAGTGCTGTCTTTGCCCATTGCAGCTATCTGAGTGACCTTTTTAAGACAACAGTTTGACCACATCATCCCTCTGTTCAGAACCTTCCATTGGCTTCCCATCATATTCAAGATTAATTGACATAGGTGTATGGGTTTATTTCTGGGCTCTCTATTCTGTTCTGTTGATCCATATGTCTGTTTTTGTGCCAATACCATGCTGTTTTGATTACTATAGCTTTGTAGTATTGTCTGAAGTCTGGGAGGGTTATGCCTCCTACTTTGTTCTTTTTCTTCGGGAAAGCAATTGCTTGGGCAATTCTGGGTCTCTTATGGTTCCATATAAATTTTAGGATCCATCATATTCAGAATCAAATCCAAAGTTGTCACCATGGCCTGCAAGGCCCTACATGATTTTGCCTGGTTCATCTCTTCTACTATACAGTCTACACCCCAGTCACTTCTCTTCCAGTTGTCACTCCAGTCCACCCACACTGACCTTCTCACTGTATCTGAAGCACTTCCAGCACAATATCAACCCAGGGCCTTTGAATGAGAAATTGCTTCTGTGTGGAATGTCTTCTCCCAAGTATCTCCATGGTTACCTCCTCTTTCGGATATTTGCCTAGAAGTTTACCTTATAAGGAAACAAACAGTGAAAGCATTTGTTAATTTCAGAAAAAAATTAAAGATATACAAACAACATATAACCCAAGGTAACCAATGTTTATAATCGTAGTCATGTACATACTGAATTTGAACTAAAATTTTGATGTGACCATAGTGGGGGGAGGACCTTAGGAGAGAAAAGAGGGCAATAGAAATAAATAGTCACACTCTACAATAGGAAGTCTTTCAAGAGCATCTAAAATGAAGTACATAGCAGCATCAGTGTATCCATTATCAATAAGGCATGAAATCTAAAAGGAATGATGGAAGAATTTGTAAGCGGTGGCTTCTGGAGAGCTGGATTTGGGGGGAGTGGGCATGTGTTTTGTTCTCAGCCTAGTAGCTCTGAACTGTGTGTGGACTCCATTAACAGAAATGAAAGTTTAAAATTTTCACTGGCTGGAGAGCACAGAAAAGGGCATAGCTAACCACCTGGCCAGGTAGGAACTAGGGAAGAGAAACCCTGTGACACAAGGGCCACAAGGATGAGTGTTTCACTAGATGGACCAGGAGGTAGAAGAGCCCATCCCAGAAAGGAACAATGTTTGTAAGACACAGGTGCATGAAAGGGTGTGGTGTGTCTGAGCCGAAGGTGCGCAGGTGACATGCAGATGAGTCTCTAAAGGTGGCTCGAGCATGATCGATAACAGCCCATGGCATCACTAAGAAGTTTAACTGTGGACCAGGGTTTACAATCTGCAGGATATAACTGATTCATGGGTCTCAAACAGCATTTTCTAACTTGAGGTATAATTGACATATAACATTATACGAGTTTCAAGTGTACAACATATTGATTCGATACATACAAATGTATTGCAAAACGATCAGCACAGTAAGTCTGGTTAGCATCCATCACCACGCATGGTTACAATTTTTTTCTTGTTTTTTGTTTTTAAGATTTACTCTCTTAGCAGCTTTCAAATACACAATACAGTGTTATTAACTGTACACACTGTACCTTACATCCCTAGGATTCTTTATTTTGTAGCAGGAAGTTTGTACCTTTTGAACTGCCTTCACCAATTTCTCCCAGCTGCCCACACCCCCGCCCCACCTGATGAAGCAGAATGGATCAGACTGTACTGCATGTGACAGGGGAGATATTGCTTCATGTACCCAAGGACCCCTCAAGTAGCCTCAAATTCTTCTGTGTTCACAGCACTCTGGTATTTAAGGACCACATCCTTATTTTCTCATCATTTTCAAAGTTAACAATAAATCTTTAGTTAATACATAAATCAGAGCATAGTAGTAAGTCTCTGTACATTTTAAGTCTCTGCTTTGGCAGTTTTATTTCACTTTTATAGCTAAACTGAAATAAATCCAGTATAACTTTTCCTGCCTTAGTTGAAGAATGGTTTTGCTTACAAGTTCATGGCCTTTTTTTTGTCTCCTTACAGAATTACTTGGAATTTTCTATTTATTTCCTATGGATTTTTTACAGTAAACTTTTGTGGGGTTTTTTTTTTGCGGTACGCGGGCCTCTCACTGTTGTGGCCT